ACTGGGTTTCTCTGTGTAGCCGTGGCTACTCACTCTGTAGACCAGGCTGGCCTTTAACTCACAGAGATCCACCTGCCTCTGGCTCCCAAGTTCTGGGATTAAAGGAGTGTGACACTACCACAGGCTTAGCCAGCACTCTTTTTTTTTTAAATTATTATTATTATTAATTTGTTTTTCACATTCCAATCCCAGTTCCCCCTCCCTCCTTTCCTCCCACCTTGAGCCAGCACTCTTAACCTCTGAGACTTTTATTTGTTTTTTAAAGATAGGGATCTCACTCTGTTTCTTAGGCTTAAGCTGCTAGGCTCAAAGAATCCCAGCTCCATCTTTCGAGGGAGCTGGGAGATGTTGGACACTGAGCTATTTGTAATGTTGGAGTTTTGCTTTTGCTTTGATCTGATAGTAAGCATGCCCTGGTTCTTCCCCTTTGGAATTAGAAGTCTAACTTCATTTTATGCCACAGGAACTCAATTTAAGAGACAATTTAAGTGAAGCCAGGCAAAGAGGCAAGTGGATCTCTAGGAGTTTGAGAGCTCTACATAGAGAATTCCAGGACAGCCAAGGCTATGTAGTGAGACCCTGTCAGAGAGAGAGAGAGAGAGAGAGAGAGAGAGAGAGAGAGAGAGAGAGAGAACTTACGATTACTTTGTGTCTGTGTATCACGTGCACACATGGTGCCTGAGAAGGCAGAAGAGGGTGGGAGTCAAATGCCCTGGAACTGGAGTTACAAATGCTCATGAGCCACCATGATAGTGCTGAGAACTGAACCTGGGTCCCCTGAAAGGACAATCAGTGCTCTTAACTTCTGAGCCATCTCTCCAGCAAGAGACACTGAATGTTTTTATTTATTGATTTACTATGTATACCATGTTTGCCTACATGTATGCCTGCATGCCAGAAGAGGGCACCAGATCTCATAGACATTTGTGAGACACCATGTGGTTGCTGGGAATTGAACAGGGTCCTCTGGAAGAGCAATCAGTGCTTTTAACCCTTGAACCATTTCTCCAGACTGAGACATTGAACTTTTAAGTGATAGAATTTTGTTGTTGTTCTTTTTTTTTTTTTTTTTTTTTTTTTTTTTTTTTTTTTGTGACTAGGTTTAACTATATACCTCTGGCTGTCCTGGAACTCACTGTGTAGACCAGACTGGCCCTGAACTCACAGAGATCCTCCTGCCTCTGCCTCTGTCTTTGCCTTTGCCTTTGCCTCTGCCTCCTGAGTGCTGGGATTAAAGACATGCACCACTACACCCAGCTAAATGATGGGATTTTTTAAATACTGTGAGATTTCCAAAGTTGTGCAATATTTTATATTATGGCATTACTATTAACATGATCTTGAAGACAAGAAGGGAAAGGTTATGGTTTAAAATGACACATTTTTGTGTCATAATTGACAAGGAGTGGAATGTCATACATAGTTTCAGTTATCAGCTTGACACACCTGGGAAGAAGGACCCTAAGCTGAGGAGTTGCCTCCAGGAGACTGGCTTGTGGGTGGGTCTGGGGGCAGATTTCCTTAATTGTTAATTGATGTGGTAGTGCCTATTCCATGTGGGAGGTGCTGTGCTATCAATAGGCAGGCGGACCTGGGCTGTATAAGGAAGTCCACCGAGCAAGCCAGAGGGAGCCAGCCAGTGTTCTTCCATGGTCTCTGTAGGTGCCGTTTGAACTCTTGCAGGGACTTCTCCCGGTGATAGACTGTGCCATGGGAGTGTAAAGCAAATAAACACTTGCCTCCTCTGGGGTGGTTTTGGTTAGTATTTTTCACAGAAACAATGAGCGAAGCAGGACATTGGAACTACAAGCACATGCCAAGATGCCCAGTGTGGAATTCTATTTCTTTTATGAGTGTGCGTATCCCTGCATATATGTCTTGGTATCTGAGACAACTTCTGGGAGTCAGGTTCTTTTCTCCCACCATATGGGTTCTGGGAAATGAAACTTGGATAGTCTGTGAGGCTTGGCAGAGAACACCTTTATTTGTGAAGCCATTTCACTGGGCCTGGGATTTTATTTTTTAAAATGCCTATATTGTAAAACTGATATTTAGGTATACATTCCTACAGGCTTTAACAAACACCACAGCAGTTCCGTCATCTCCCAGACTTTCCTGCACATCTCCTATCACATGGTTCACCGAATCCAGGCAGCCACAGATCTGACCTCTACATTGAAGTAGAGGACGTGGTGTAAATGGAGTAATACATTCTGTGACCTTTGGGGACTGGCTTCCTTTGCTCAGTCCAACACCTATGAGATCCATGCAAGGTACTGTTCTTGTCCCTGGCTCATTTCTTATTTCTGTAATACTTTTAAGTAGTAATTAATTGTATGGCTGCACCATCCTTGTTTAACTATTCACATTTTGAAGACAGAGGCTTTCTCCTGCATGGGGCAATTATGACTAGAGTAACTACAAATATACACTTGTGTGTGGGTGTATCTCTAATGTAAACACCCAGGGAAGGGGACCCCTGAGTCATGTGTGTGTGTGTTTTAAGTCACAAGACTGTCTTCCAGAGTGCCTAGATTGCTTGCATCCTTCTCAACAGTGACTGTTCTGCTTGCCCGTCAGCCTCATCATCTCACAGTTATTGTTAGACTAAAAATTCAGTCTTCATGATATATGCATGGTGGCATCTCATCATGGGCTACATTTGCACTCCCATAACTAATAACTAAAACATCTTTTCATGCATCTATTTCTTCTGTTCATATCCTCATTGGTAATTGTGTTGTTTTCTTACTGTTGATATTCGGGCATCCTTGTTATAACTGTGATATAAGGTTCCTTTGTGTTCTGTGGGTTATCTTTTCATTCTTCTAGTTGTATGTCATGTAGCACAGGTTTTTAATTTTGACGAAATCTAATTCATCAACTTATAATGGATCACAGTTTTGCCATTATGTCTGAGATTTTTTTTCCTAACTTTGAGGACATTCCCCCCTATGTTTATTCTACACGTTTTCTAGTTTTACTAATACAAATCATTTTCGATGTCTTAAAGAAAATGGGGCCTGGGGTGTGTTCTGTTGGAAGGTGCTTGTCCGGCTGCGGTTGTAGGTGCCCTTGGCACTTCTGCAGGAGAAGGCAGGAGGTCGAGGATTTCAGGGTTGGGGACTCATGGCCCAGTTATTCTGGGATGGTGAGGCGCTCACAATGCTGACTCTGGTGAGTCTCAGCCTTGGGCTCCCATGTCACACTTAGCTTCATCAGGAAGTGCCCGGGACCATCTCTGTTCAACCCCTGTGCTCCTGGCTGTGAGGCAGCCCACTCACTTTATCTGACTCTTGGGTCTAGCAGTACTTGGGGCCAAGGGCCACTAGAAAGACTGTAACATCTGGAGACCCATGCCCACGCTTCTCCCCGAGGAGGATTTTGTAAATCTCACCCTCTCATCCTGGCCTTTTTCTTCTCACGGGTACACCTTCCTCCCTTCCCTTTGTGAACTCCGGACCCTCTCCCTCCATCTCTCTGGAGTCTTGTTCCGACTCTTTCCCTCTACAGCACCACACAGAAGCAGCCTCACATCTTCCATGTACCCAGAAGTCTGCTTTTTTTTTTTTTTTTTTTTTTTTTTTTTTTTTTTTAAATATTTGGGACTGAATCTGGAGCCTCGTGCCTGCTAGGCGAGTGCTCTCCCACTGAGATATAGCCTCAGCTCTGGAGTTTCAGGTTGAAGAAGGAGTCTAAATATTTTCAAGGAATCCAGAAACTGCTATCAATTCTAAGTAGAAAAGAATGTGGAGTAGCTAAGTTGGCCTCAAACAGGATTGCACGGCAACATGACAGCAGGGACACGTACCGGCACCGCCCTCCCTGGGACACATACCGGCACCGCCCTCCTTTAATCCAAACCCCCAGGGGGCTATGGATGAGTGTGGACCCTTCCTAAAAGCATGATGACCATTTGAAGAGTGTTGAAATAGGAAAGGAAAGAAGGTTTGTGAAATGGCGATAAACTTGCTGTGTGGAAGGGTAGAATGAAAAGCTGTGCTGGGTAGTTTTATGTCAACTTCACAAGCTAGAGCCATCCCTCCCCTCAGCCAGTTCTTGTAGAACCCAGGACCACCAGCCCAGGGATGGCACCACCCACATGGGCTGGGCTCACCTGCATCAATCACTAATTAAGAAAATGCTCAGCCTTGAGGTGGTGGCACATGCCTTTAATCCCAGCACTAGCGAGGCAAAGGCAGGCGATCTCTATGAATATGAAGCCAGCCTGGTCTACAAAGTGAGTTCCAGGACAGCTGAGGCTACCCAGAAAAACCCTGACTCAAAAAAACCAACCAAACAACAACAACAAAAACAAACAAACAAACAAACAAGAAAGAAAGAAAGAAAGAAATAAAGAAAGAAAGAAAAGAAAAGGAAATGCTCTAAAAGCTTGCCTGCAGCCTGATATGGAGACATTTTCCAGTCATCACCTTCTTTCTAGCATGGGAGAACGGATGTGTGTACAGACTGAGAAACCTCTACCTCTCTAAAGTGAAACATGCACCATTCTATGGCAGAAGAAAGGGACAGGCAGAGACTTCCTGTGTTTGCTCTTTTTAATTGCCTGCAGATTTGTATGGACCTCACGGTAAGTGCTGCTTGTTGGAACAGCGCATTAGAATAGTCCTAGGAACTGTGCAGCTGGAAGGCAGACATATATACCCTTTCTTTTAAATACAGTCAACATTTTTACTTTATCAGTTATTGTACCTGAGTGTGTGTGTGTGTGTGTGTGTGTGTGTGTGTGTGTGTGTGTGTGCAGGCCAGTGGCGCATGTGTGGGTCCGAGGACAGTTCTTGGGGTCCGTTTTCTCCTTCTACAGTGGGTTCTGGGGGAACCAGTCAGTTTTTTTTTATATTCTTCTTTAGGAGACTGTTTTCATGTTGAGTCTGCAAGGCCTACTCTGTACTCGTATTTAGAACAATAGAGAGAGTTAGGGGTTAAATGCTTTACTGTCATGTCTTACTCACAAAGTCAACATTGGTGAATTTACTTACTTCTGGCGTCTGGGCAGCTGAGTTCCACACAACTGGCCTTTGGAGAAACACGACCTGCTTTGTAGCCAAATTCCCTTCACTGGAAGTTAAAACAGTAAGATCAGTATTTGTGAACTAGGAATTTTCTTTTTTTTGTTTTTGTTTTTGTTTTGTTTTGTTTTTTGAGACAGGGTTTCTCTGTGGCTTTAGAGCCTGTCCTAGCACTTGTTCTGTAGACCAAGCTGGCCTTGAACTCACAAAGATCTGCTTCCTGAGTAATGGGATCAAAGGTGTGGGCCACAAACCCTGGCTCCAATTATGTTTTAAAGTTAAGAAACCAACAAATGGTTTTCTATGGCATTTCTACACATAGGGATCATTGTACTTTGTTCTAGTGAATTAGTAATTGTCTCTATTGACTAGGGAGGCCCACATATATCTTTTGTAGGGTAATCCTATGGTCCACAGATAATTTTGAAAATGATCCTATATAAATTGCACTGGAAAACAAGAAGAAAAAAAAACCCTTCTTATAAAAAAAATTAATTAAGGAGAAGGGCGTTGGAGAGATCACTCAGTGGTTTAGAGCACTGGCTGCTCTTCCAGAGGACCTGGGTTTGATTCCCAGCATCTACATGGTGGCTCGCTACTGACTGGGACTCCAGTTCTAGGGGATCCAATGCCTTTTTTCTGTTTCCATTGGCATCAGACATACACATGGTGCACAGACAAACATGCAGGCAAAACATCCAGATGCGTACAAATAAGAAGCTGGAGAGTTGATCCAGTGATTAGAATAGGTACTGCTGGGGCTGGAGAGATGGCTGAGTGGTTAAAATCATGGGCTGCTTTTCCAGAGGACCTGGGTTCAATTCCCAACATGGACATAATAGCTTACAACTGCCTATAACTCCAATTCCAGAGGATCTGATGCCCTCTTCTGGCTTCTGAGGGCATGCATTTTCATGATGCACATAAGTGCAGGGCAAGCATTCACACACCTTAAAATAAACCTAAAAGAATTTTTATTTAAAGAGTTCATGTCAGCACCCACATCAGGAGGCTAAAAGTCACCTGTAACTCTGGCCTGATGTCATCATCTCTCCTCCATGGGCACTTGCACACACGTGTCATTCATTCACACAGACACATACATAAGAATTTTAAACTAATTAAAAATCCTCTTAAACAACATAGTCATTACAAAACAGCTACTTCTGGTTATGATCTCACCAGGTTAGCAAAATTATTTTCATTTCTTTGCTTCCTCTCTGGTACTTCTCAGTACCTGCAGTTTTTGCATACCTGTGTCCACTGTGTATTTACATTCTATTTCTTGCAGACAGGGATGGTATTTTTAATAGATGTCTAAGATCTTCAAAGAATGAAGGCACAAGAATGTACTCTCTTCCCTTTAGTTTTGGAAAATTAGTTTTCTGCTAGTTCTAAGTCATGCTGTTATAAAAATATACATAGTTGTCGTCTTGTGAATTATTTCCTTAAGATGAATTCTCGGGAACGAGATAATTAGGTCAAAAGTATGACATAAGTCTCTTGGTATGCACTGTCAAATTAGAGGCTGAACTTGGGAGCCTCGTGTGGGGAATTTATATGATTTTCCACTGAGACAGTTCAGCCAGAGCCGGTTCCGTTCATTTCAGATGCTCTTTGTAGCCAGCCACTCAGTATTCTCCTTATTTAGCTGTCATCATGGCAAATTACCCCTCGCCAAAGACGACTCAGGGTGCTATTCCTCTGAAGTGCTTTCCAGGCTCCTCGGGTTTGTGGAGGGAAGTGTTTGTGGCTAAAGTTGCTCAGTTACAACTTTTATCATGCAAAGAACCCCAGCAAAACCTTACTATTGGCTGTAATTGGTCTGTGCTCTTTTTCTGGAAGATGAATGTTAGTGAAACTTTGGCCTTATAGCGTGCAGTCTACGGGACATTAGGCAGAGCATCCAGACTTATGGGTGCCACTAACCTGTGGAAATGAATCTTCCCCCAAAGAGCTAGGAGGAGACATTTTTATTTTTATGTGCATTGTTGCTTTTCAACAGGAAACTGGAAGTTACAGAGAGTTGTGGGCTGTCATGTGGTTGCTGGGGATAAAACCTGGGTCCTCTGGAAGAACAGCATTGCTTGTAACTGCTGAGTCATGTCTCCGGCCTATACACTTTTATTTTTAAAAGACTTATTATAGTTGTTTCATTTCAATTTGATCTTATCTTCTTTCAGAACAGAACACTTTGCATGATGTAACTTTGGGAAACAAATTGTGAGTGCTACAGGGAAGGGGTTAGCATATAGAAAGAACTGGGTCTGGGGGTCATGGGGTACCCTGGAAAAGGCCAGGACCTGGGGACCAGGCCTTGTCACAGCACCTGCAGCTCATGGCTGTGCCCCACTGTTATATAAGGCCGTGGGAAGGATAAGAGAGACCCTCTCTCTGTGCTCCCAGCCAAAGGAACACAGCATGTGACTTCTGGGGCTGGAGAGCTGGCTCAGTGGTAAAGAGCACTGGCTGCTCTTGCAGAGGACCTGGGTTCAGTTCCTAGCTCCCACATGGTGGCTCACAAGTGTTGCTAGGTCTAGTTCCAGAGGAACTGGCCTCTTCTTGCCTCTGTGGGAGGAATTGCAGGTAAAATGTTCATGCACATAACATAAAATAAATAGGAAGAAAAGTGTTCATGTCCACATCTCTATCCACTTAGTACAATGTGGGGTGGAGTGTAAAGGAATTTTTATTAAAAAAAAAAAAAAAAAAACTAACCAGAATCTCAACCAAGAATATCTTTCAGAGAAAGAATTCAAGGGAGAGAGTTTATAGGAGAAAGGAGAGAGATTTCTGGGCAATGTTCTAGGTGGAGAATACTTGGGGGAACTAGGCTCAGACAGGTCAAGGCAGGTGGGTGGGCCCTCCGGCCAGTTAGAGGGTGGGGCAAGGCTGAACACAAGAAGACATGAAGTAGTCTGTCTACCCTCTCCTTCTCACTCTTTCTACAATGCTGGAACACTTCTCTGTGTCAAGGCCGAATAACCCCAGTGAGGCTCTGGCTGCAGAAGGGAGACACCTTTTGATGGTAAAGCTACATAATCAGTAAATAAGTTTAGGCTATTTTGAAAAAGTCCAAGTTCTCATTTAGCATCTGGCTTAGTTAAGATTTCTGTTTATAATGTGTAGAGTACAGTGTAATAGAGGATGAAATGAGTTTCTACCCCACCATCCCAAGGCAATCAGCCTGCCCAAACTTATAGGTCCTGATGTTAGCATGAACTGGGACTTTGAAGCACCATGTCAAAAATGAGTCCCCGGAAGCTTTGCTTTAAAAGGCATGATGGCACATGCCTTAACCCCAGCATGGTGGAGCCAGAGGCAGGAAGATAGATCTCTGTGAGTTCAAGGCCATCCTGGTCTATATAGTGAATTTCAGGACAGCCAGGGCTATGTACCAGACCCTGTCTTAAAAACAAACAAACAAACACAAAATCACACAAACAAATAAAACTCAAGTGAATTCAGAGTTGCACAAAAGTAAATAACAATGTTATATGTATATATAAGAAAGCAAACACTACCACCATCAAAGACCTCCAAACTGAAAAATCCTAAGTATAGCTTGACAATGTCTTCAAGGATACTTATTTTGAAATTATTTTTCGTGGGATATCATGGGACTGAAGATGTAGTTAGTGCTGCAGCCCTTGCTGAGCATGCCTGAGGCCCTGGAACACAGAAATAGACAGACAGACAGACCAACCGACCAACTGACCATAAAGAGAATAGGGAGTAAACAGACAAATTATAGACATGGTGAAAGTTTCTATATATAGCTAATAGACTCACACCTAGTATGTTTAAATAATTTATAATACAATCTTAACTGTGAGCAAAAGAGAACCCAGGTGGCCCAGGAAATGAAAACGTGTTCAACCTCAGTCGTGATTGAAACTAAAATTGAAGAGGCTGGAGAGATTGCTCAGGGGTTAAGAGTACTTGTTGCTCTTCCAGAGGATCGGTTTGATACCTAGCACCCAGACTGTGGGTATGAATTGTCTGTAACTCCAGTTCTGTGGTTCCTGCCCTCACATGGTGTATAGACACATACTCAAGCACACACACAAACATACATTAAAAACTACAGCAAAAAGCTAAACAAAACAAAACACACAAAAGCCACACAGAACTCTGCACACTTTCCAGAATGGCGCCATTTTGAAGTGCAGCAGTATTTCATGCTTGAGCTGCTGCAAGTGAAACCAGAAGGAACCTGTTTGACATTTCTGTAGCCAAACTAGAGCAATACCCTATGACCCAGTACTTCTACTTATAGAAAGCCCGCAGGTGCATATCAAGGTTCCTGCTCAAGCTCAGAAGGACTGGTCACCACCACAAACCTAAGGCGAGCAAACCGCAGGGGATGGATAATGTTCAGGATAATGGACACCTATAGACTATTCCTTTACACTGTGTGACTATATGTCCCATTATATGGGTTAATAAAGAAGCTGACTAGCCAAGAGCTGGACATGTAGAGAGGTTAGGTGAGATTTGCAGATAAAAAGTGAGCATGAAGAAGGGGAGAAGTTGTATAATCTTCAGCAGATGCAGAGAGAAGGAGATGAACTTGGCATACTGAGAAAAGGTACAAAGCCACGTGGCAGAATGAAGATAAGAAATATGGGTTAATTTAAAATGTTAGAGTTAGCTAGTAACAAGCTTGCGCTATTGGCCGAGCATTTATAATTAACAGTAAGCCTCTGTGGTTATTTGTGAGTGGCTGCTGGGACACAGAGAAAGTCTGCTTACAGACAGCCATGTTGCTACACACAGACAAAACAGTAAAAGCAACACACAGAAAAGAACTTTATACCACAGAATCCTGTGCTTGCCTGGCAGCAAGCTCACAGGTATTAGCTTACGCACTTCGTGTTTGACGTACTTCCTATGTGTTTTATTCAAAGCAATTGTTGGGATTTTGTTATTTTTATTTTATGTGTGTGGGTGTTGTGGAGGTTGTGCACCCCTGAGTGAGTGCTGGGAGCTGAACCCTGGACCTCTGGAAGGGCAGTCAGCGCTCTTAACTAGAGCCATCTCTTCAGC